CCCAGTAATCTCTCACGGGAAGCTGTCTCTCCTAATTATTTTGACCCAGCCTCATGTGGTCCCTTTTGACACACACTTCTTGCCTGCTGGCATGAAATCGACAACCAGAGCCCGCCGCAGGTTTCTTTGATTTTAGTGCTCTTCTTCTACCGCTCGTTACTCTTTCGTTTCAGCACTCTCGTTTGTTCTGTTGGTAGACGCAGCTATACAACCGCGCGCGAGGGCGCGTCGCTCTTCGCGCCGGTCCACTTACTTTACGGCCTTGTGATCGATGCTCGATTAGTCTGGTTGCATACAGCAAGCTTTTGCCGTAGCTACTTCTTGGTCTCTGCCCTCGCGTATTTTGAGCGTATCGAGGATCACGACATGGAGCCCTCGAGCTCGCGCGAGCCACCATGGGCAGAGCATGAAAAGGTACGTACCTCTCCCACCCATTGTAACACATCTATTCGCGATGAACAAGTCACTAATACAACCACATCAGGTATATTTACTTGCTGAAGTACTAAAAGCGGCCCCCATACCATCTCACGTTCTCTTTCAATTTATACGCGACGCCAACATCCAGCCACGATGGAACGACATGGCTTTACCTCCTGGTATGTTTGGTCTTTTGCGCTTTCGTAAATACGTTTATTCTTATAACATTACACGTACTTTCCACCCAAGAAGAATATACTAACGCGACGCAGGCCGGTCGGTTCGCTCTAGCCAGATGGCATTTGACAGTCTCGCAACCAATTTCGTCCCGCCTGGACAAGATTACCGACGCCCTCAGCTACCCGCCCCAATGGTATATCCTGCGCCCGATCTCTCGAGAAAACGCCCCCATCAGCAAGAAGCCTCCACGCCCATTGGCCGCCTACTACAACCTCGACCCCCTCATTCCTACCCTGGAGAATTTATGCCTGCCGGCCCTGCCTACACATCTACTATAAATCCATCTGGCGAACCAGCGAACAAAAAGAAACGCGGAAGACCTACGAAAGCGGAGGCGCAACAAAGAGCACAAGAGGCTGCTGCGAGGGGTGAGGTGTACCCACCACCTAGGAGGGGGAGACAATCTATCACGGCACCACCTGAACCGTCACCACTCGGACCGGATCCTCGGCCGCACGATCGAACACCTCCGCCATCTGCGCCTTCCCAATTGGCTCCCGCGATGACACCACAGCAACAAATCGGGGTAGAACACGGGTCAGAGTCTTCATCAGGAAAGAGAAGAAGAACAAGGCCAACACCATTGGAATTAGAGAAGCATCGCGCAACCAGCGAAATGGAATCCCCCCTCGCATATGGGTCTGGCGACCCGAATCGCAGCCAAGCATATTCAACATACACGCCCATCTCTGCGCCCTTGCCAACTTCATCAGAATCCAGGGACAGAGATGTGCGCATGGAAGGGGTCGAAGAGACTCAACCACGAACCACGACACCTCACTCGTTTAAAGACACGGTCGGCATATGACAGCGTTTCTTTCGTCCAAAAGCAACATACGGCGGTAATCCTGTTTTGAAAGCGTTCCGTCAACGACTTTACTTACGCACTCACGATGACCTATGGCCATGACACATGGAGGTACGCTCTGCCGTTTACGCTTGCTACCACCATTGATGATCACTCGTCAAGCGCGCGCATCATCGATCATGATCATGTTGTTATTGCAGCTCTGGGGCATTTGTCCCAGACACACCATCATTTCTTGTCAAGTTCGATTTCTTTGCCACACTTTATTCATTCCTTTCTTCATTGACTGCATGTCGACACTACGAAAGTTGAGATATGACGAACCTTTACCTAATGTCTTAGTATCGCTATCTTCACGACTAAAGAGTTTCGTATTTTCGTATCTCTTTCGGCAGTAAGGCGCCTATGCCAGCCATCTTGTTTTTTCCGCAACGTGTACGATAGATGGATTTCCGATCAGTTCCGCATTACGGCCTCTGTACAAAAAGCACCTATTAGCAACAGCATCAATAGTAGAGTTGGCCACGGCCAATCAGTCCGCATTCTTCCCATCGCTTTGAGCGAGCATCCCTCGTACCATGTCGCACACCGCTCCTGCGTGTCAATGTACGTATCCTGGTGTCCATTCATCTAGCGAGTACTAGCATTTCACGACATTCGAGTTCCTGCAGGCTGACCAGGAAGGCATCATAGGAAGTGGTTGGGATCCCGAACTGGGCAGCGTAAGGCGACGCCAGCCGCGGCGCGCGACACGAGCAACGGGTCTTGTTTCACCTATGAATACCCTACGAGTTCCGGTACTACTATCGCCCGTTCTCGTACCTCATACACAAGGTCGCGACGCAGGGGTACCATTGCTACTCCGCGCGCAAAACTATTCGGCAATCTGCATGTAAGCGCCCTCCCAAACAACCTCCACACCTAACAATCAATCGCCATCCACAGTCTCAAACGTTCTACTCCATCTTCACCGGAAGTGTTTCGGCAGAAAAACAGCTACGAGTATTGGTTGAGAGACTTGTGAGGAAATGACTCGAGTTGCAGCGTTGCGTTTGCGGCTACGCACTTGTCTCTGCAGACTACTGCTGCAGCACGAAAGGGGAGTCGACATGACGCCAACGCATGCACGCATCGACCAAGTCCCAACACCGAAACTGCAGAACAGCAGCAGCAGACGCAGACAGCCATTGCCTGTCCAACCAACTTAGCCTGTGGTAAACATTGCGGCTAAAAACGCCCATCAAATTTCTGGAATGTCACTCTTGCGATTTGCAATGGTTGTTCGTTGACACAACAACCACTACACTCCCTGTACAAGCGCGGACCAGGGGATGCGATGGAGGATGACGGAACCTTAACTCCAGTATCTCGGCCGCAACGTATCAGATCTTACGCACCGAAGCTTACCCCACATCGCGCCTAGCAAGCATACATGTACCAGTGCCGTTTCTCATCTTTCCCACTACTACTACCAGCCTCGGTCTAAGGAAATAATCATCCCCTTAGTCCAACGGGCTACACAACGCGAATGCGACACGTCAAAAAAAAAATACAGTTTACCAGTTTCCTGGCCTCTGGAGAGTTTCAACCACAATTTTCGACGGCGCGGTTTGTCTGCCGTGTCGATAAACACTAACGGCATAGAACGAGGCTGACTGTCTAACTAACCCTACCGTGCTAGATCCCAACGATGTAAATATAAACAAACGTTTTGTGACAACCGTCCCAGCAACCAGGTGTTCTACTTGGTTTCTCGCTGCCCTGCCGCACTCAATGACGCCAGTGTTTCGAATCGCATCTGACAGCGATATTGCCAATACACGTTATTCTCTGGGGCGAGCTTTTTCCGGAGCGAGAGCGAGAGTGCGGGCGGGTGGCTTGTATACGTATGCAAGGTCGTGCCTTGGAAGCTGGCTGGAAGGGGAAGGTACTGTAGGAGAGAGGAAGGAACAGGCGAAGGAAGGAATGAAGGGACGGGGGAAGGCAAGGTAGGGATAGGGCGGTTTACGCTTGGGCCAAGCGTTCTTGACGTCTTCGTCTTCGTTTGCGAAGGTGCGGGGGGTGTGCGTTGTTGGTAGGTAGATGGGAAGAAGTTGTTCGAAGCGCGCGGGATGGGGAAGGCGCGTTTATTGCGACATGTAGAGTTTAGTATGTTTGTAGAAACACATCATCGTCGAAACAAATACTAAGCGCGCTATTATCCTTTACACCTCACTTTCCATCAAAGACACCCACTGCCTTCCCCTTCCATCGACATCTTCAACGGCCGAAGCGCCCGCATCCGTCGTCAATCCCTCGCTTACATCTGAAACACATTCCCCCATCCCTAATCCATACCTACCTAGGCGATCCATATCCATAGACGCGCCCGTATATTACCCAGATCGTCATATAGCCAGGAGTGGGCTATACCACACACCTCTCTCGATTTCCATTCAGATCGCCGTCTTCGCGCTCTCTTCCGCTTAGCCCTGTCACTTTCGGTTCATTCTTCACCTTCGGTTGCAGCATCCGAAATGCGAGCTGCGCGCGCCGATTGCAGATTGGGTATATGGAAGACACTTTGTACCTGCGTCTCGCGTGCGTGCGTGAGCGATGATGTCGGTCCTGCGCGTTCCTGCATTGGAACAATCTATACTTCTGCTCGATTGGGTGAGTTGGGTAGGATGGAGAAGGTAAGTGGGTGTGCTGCGTATATCGACGACAGTGGATATGGATGGAGTTGGGCGAAGGTGTGGTCATGGTGGATCTGGACTAGACGGTGGGCATTCTTGTAGAGGGTAATATCGACAAGTTGGTGATGTGGTATATGCCCCGGACGGGAGATATTAGGCGAGCAAGGGATGGGGAGAGTTGGGGTTAATATAGTTGCGGTTGTATACATGCATGTGTGAGGGGCTGGTGTGGCATCGGTTGTCGCGTGCGCTTCTTTGACATTTCGATGATGAGATTACTACGTGTGGATGATGACGTGCATAGATTCGATATTTCGTTCGCAGAGACGAAATGAGTACAGTATGCAGGTACAGACGGCGCACAACTCCGATGCGTATCACAAGCAGTAGAACTTTTGAATGATGGTATTGCTAGGATATATCCGCTTCAGTAAACAGCACAGACGCCTTGCTTTCAATACGCATTACATGTCGCCAAAGCAGCGACCTCACAACATCAAACGCCAAAGTAAAAGTCCACCCAAAAATGCTGTGGTATCAAAAAAGGATAAGGAAAAACGGATAATACTCTGCCGAAGCAAAGAACGTATATCAATGCTAAGCTCATGGCTCACCACCTAACCCAGAACGCCATATATGCTCGAGATAAGAGTCAAGGAGATGGATGCCTTGCTACGGCGCCACGGATTCTTCGACGGTGAGGAGCTAACTCGCCATATCGCGATCGAATTGGCAGTCGGAGCAAGTCCAGTCGCGTGGTTTGTGGGTTGGATTCGTTAAGTGGGTGACCTGTTGGACGCATGCCCAGTGGAAGATTTGTCGTACGCAGTCCTGTTGAGATGTTAGTTGACAGAATTCTAGACGCAGAGTCTGGGATTTGCAATACTTACGGTATCATTACAGGTGATGATACCCGATCCTGGTGTCGCCGATGCATCTTGGCCACAGTAACATAAGCCGTATGGTGGGTCGTCATCCTCATCTTGAGGTGTATCCAATGGTTGTTCGGGTACGTGTGGCGGTGCTTCGCTCATGTCCACATCGCCATCAGGGTCTGGGGTGGTAGGAGTTATGTAGCCATTGAGTGCTCGGTGGTACGACCTGTCAATATCGCCTAAAACGTCGGCAAGATCGTCATCAAAGGAGTCGTCAAAAGCTGATGATTTTGCTTTCCCCTTCCCTTTCCTGTCTCTTTTCGGCGCAGATCTTGTATGCACTCTCAGTCCAGCCGAGCCAACAGACGTTTCCTGGTTTTCAACGTCGAGTTGTTCTAAACGCTGAGATAACTCATTGGCTTCATGAATGTTTGTTTCCTGGTCGTTGACTACCTCCAAGGCCTTCTCATGTACCTCCTTCGAGATGATATCTTCCTCTACCAACTCATCCAGCTTCTTCGTGAATTCGCTCATAACGTTTTCCCGCCATATCCGTACACCACATTCTCGTGCAAACCGAACGATGGCGTCTCCAACATGTATGTCTGATTGCAGGCTCTCTTCGTGCATAAAGTCATCGAAGAGTTTTATGAACCGTCTGGCAGATTCTGATAAGTTTGCTTTGTCGATTTCTGCGTGCTTCCAGCGATACAGCCATTCTTCATCCAGCTCGTCATCGCTCTCACTGATCTCTTCGCCAGGCTGAAGAGGTCTTCTGCTGAGTGATCGGAAGAAAGTGATACCTTTCGGAGGCTGCGGTACAATGAACTTCTTCTTCTCCCTTTCTGGCCTAGACTGCACTTGGTCTGGAGGTTTACGTATCCTGGGTGCAGGCGCGACTTGCTGACCACTTGGGGCAAGTTTCGATCTCGCGTTTCTGGTAGCTTTCCCAAGTCTCGCAGCTCTTTCAAACTCGTTATCGCCTGCCAAGAATCTTCGTCTGTCGAAGGGTTTGGGTGGTGCAAGTACGCGCACATCGTAAGGTTCGTCAGCGTTGTCGCTTGCACGTTGACGCTGATCTGTTCTGTAATTCGCCACTTCGCTCTCGAATCGCCAGTGCTCCACCCCGTGCTCGTCGACCTGCTCAAGGAAGACCTGGTAATCGAAATAGTCGTGCCAACTTATCAGGTGCATCTTAAGATCGTCGATGTCAGTGGTTTTTCTCTTCGAACAATGCGGACACATGAGCTCTGATCGTTCAAGAGTATCATTCCCGTACACAAATGTGAGTTTGTAGCGCGGTTCCATGTCGAGAGGTGGTGTAGGATATGAGCTGGGAGGCTGCATAGAGCTTTTCAGGTGACGGTTGTAGCTCGTCAAGACCGAGTCTCTTTTGAGTGGGATCCAATGCATACTGACTTCTAGCCCGATACCGAGCTGTTTCCCAGACGCTTTCAGTGGTAAGGTTATCCTTCCCTGTGGCACATCGAAGATGTTCCCATACGACGTTGAAAGACGAGCTGATGCATCTGAGCTTTTGACGCCCATGAAATCGTATAGGTCCTTGACGTTGTCGTGGGTTTCGAAGTTGATACTCAGCATGATCATGTGAATATCGTTATCATCGATTTTGGTGGGATCAGTGTACCAACTTTCGCGATCAATGGCAATGGGCTCCACTTCGATTGAAGCTTCTTTTTCTGATCTATCGAATCCTCGCAGTGTTGCTTCCTGATCTGGAGGATTCTTGCAGGTGGGCATGGTCGACGATGAAACGATTGACGTTTTGATGGAGGTCGTTAATCGTAAGATATTCCGCACTTTCCGCGCTGGATCATTCGATCGACCATTCTGAGAAGCTTCTGGGGCGTTCAGCGGCCGGATACTGTGCACCTCAAGAACGAAGGATCCCCCAGATTTTTCTGCTGAGATCATATCGTCTAGTAGATCCCAGGATGGAGGTTGCCACTGGGAGCGAAAGCGGGGTCCTGTCTGTGAGTACTGATCTTCGCTTTGGCTATGCGAGAGGCCCTGCTGCACTTGTTTCCGGTTTCGCTCCAGGAACGGTAATCTCTTCGTCTTGTACAGGTAGTCGTAGAAGATGATGTTGCCGAAAAACCTGTCTCGCCGTTCTAGCATGCTCTGCCAGTGCACATGCATGTTAGAGGATGTCTCATCTGTTGAGAAACTATGGTTCTTACAGAATTGATTGGTTGCTCAGTTGCATCCTACAGCAACCGAGAATGTGTAGTGAGAGCGCACATTTGGTGTGGCCAGGTGAGAGAGGATGGAGTTTGCTGCGGTCCTGCGCGGCTGTTCAGAGCGGCGTTGCGGATGGAGATTGGGCGCCGAAGTGAAGATCGCGAGAAAGCAGGGTTGTTGTTGTTTCTAGCGGTCTGACGCCCCTGGCCTGCGTGCGTCTGTTCCGCGATATAACCAGACGCGCAACAATTACGCCAATTGCTCTTTTTGCTTTGGAATTGGTCGACAAAGAGTTGAATGTCTTGTGTTGATGGGGTTCGTGTTTGTTGTTTCGCAGAGGTTTGTGGCGCGCGACGGCTACCAGGGACGACGCGATTACGCACAAGCAGACAGCGCTCAGCCGGCGAGATGCTGAATCGCAACTATCTGCGAGCCTTACCGTGCAGCAATGCGAACACGACGGACACCCCACACTCCTGACGGGTGTGTGCAGGCAAAGGTGTGTTGTGGCATGTGTCACGTGCACGGGCGTTGCGGCTAAGCCGCATCGGCTGGCGGATCCCGGATGATCTCATTGATCCTCTTACCTCCGAAGGCCGCATGCATCGACATTTCACTATCGCAACACTCACTCTCAGTCCTCACACTTCTGACTCACACTTTGGCCTGCTCCATGCACCTCCGCGACTGCTTTCGAGGGCTTAGGAGCCCCTTATAGGCAGGACTCACGGCCAATCAGTCTGCGAGCTGGCCCCCCATAGTCACTGGACCCTACCTTGTGCGACATGGCGGTCACACTGAAGCGCAAACGCGGCGCGGTCTCGTATAAAGAGCCGAGCAGCGACGAAGATCTCTCCGAAGGCTCCGGCTATGAGCAGACGACCAGGAAGCGCACTGTCTCTACTCGACGATCAACTCGCCGCCCACCAGCCGACGATGAAGCCGCCAGCGAAAGCGATCACTCTCCGCCAGAACCTGCCCCTATCAGGCAGCAACGCGGCTCACGCAGCTCACGGATTCGAGGAGCCCCACGGGTATCATACAAAGATGTCAGCTCAGACGAGGAAGACGAAGAGGACCCCGATGCCGACTTCGAGCTGGAGGATGAGCGCGTCATGACAGTGAGAACAAGGTCGCGCCCAGTTGCAGCGCCATCACCACGGCCAGAGAAGACAGGAGGCGCCAAGAGGAGTAGATCGCGAAGGAAAGCTGTCATAGGCGCACCACTGAAGCCAAACAAGGAGGCTCAAGTCGAGCGCAAGACGACTATCCCCTCTGATGGACACAAGCCGGTATGTGTCGTGCATCTAATGGAAAGACCCATGCTAACCTTCATGTTCAGGCCTGGGCTTCCCTACCATATCACGTACTCCTCCAGATATTCGTGTACGCCTCCCACCCGCTCCACGACGAGAACATGAAGCCTACCGCATCGATACCGTGGCTTGTGCAGATGGCCAGGATGTGCTCAACGTTCACAAAACCGGCTCTGACGGCTCTGTACCGTAACCCGCCCATATTCGCCATGAGACAGACGCGCAAAGACCTCGTTCACCATCTGATTACTCCTCCACCAGGGGCCCATGATGACTATCGGGTCATGGTCAAAAGATTGGAGCTGGATGCTACACAGATGACTGCTTTGACGGATCACGCAAACAGCGCTGCCGACCTCGCGGCCCTGGTCCGGTCACTGACGACACTGCGGGAAATCGACATCTTTGATCCTATGGACCGGCCACCCTTTCGCCCGCGGCTTAGGCGACTTCGGCGCTGGGTATATCCTGCCGAGCTCTTTGATGCACTTCGCCAGACTAGCCTCCGCTTGCGAGGTTGGCGTTGGAACAGTACTTTCTGTAGTCAAGGACCTCTATGGATGAAGACCATCCACGAAGGAACCGCATTTCAGAGTCTCCTCGATGTGTCCCTCGTCAAGTTCCACCCCGAAGTTGTTCGCGAGGACCCGGAAGAGGATGACGGTCGACCTACAGTAGAAGAACTGCTGGCATCTGCGCTGGCTGTGCTCCCTAATCTCAGAAGCTTATCCTTTGAGACTTGTGGTGTTGTCAGCGGGCGTCTGCTTCCATTATTGCCCACTGATCTCACCAGTCTCAGCATCATCAACTGCGGCGAGCTACTCTCTGATGCATTTCAGGCTTTTCTGGCCACACATGGCTCTCACCTCGAGGAGCTAACCCTCAATCATAACCAGGCTCTAGACATGTCATTCCTAGTCGACTTGAAGCGTTCTTGCCCTAAGCTCGAGGTCCTCAGAATGGATGCTACCTACTACAGCTCTCTTGTCATGTCCTCGGATAACGAGCCTCTCTACGAGACGCTTCTTGGCGAGAACGAAATGCCTACCTGGCCAACATCACTCCGTACCCTTGACTGCCAGTACTTGCGGAACTGGAATTCGAAGTCTGCGGACAACTTCTTCAGCTCGCTTATAAACTCTGCTGAAGAATTGCCCCGGCTTCAGGAGATTACTATCATCGCAATGGTGGACACCGACTGGCGGCAGAGAGCCGAGTTCAGACAGAAGTGGACTGCCAAGTTCAGAAAGGTCTTTGCCAGAAAGTGGGAAACACCTGATCCCAGTCTTGCGTCTCTCAGAGCCTTTAGAGAATGGAAGGCTCGCGGCGACGACGGGGACAAGGTGGACTCTTTCATTGAAGGCGTCTCTGAAGAAATGGCAGAGAAGGCTGACCCGGTCATGGCAGACGACGCCGATGGTAGCGAAAGTGACGTTCCTCTGGTACCGTCACGCGTGCAGAAGCAGGATGAAGGCTGGGGTTCGAAGCGTCTTCGTTCTCGCTCAAAAGCAGCTCTAAGCTACGATGAGGAGTCCAACGAAGAGGCTGCCTCGGAGGAGGAGGCGGCTTCAGATGAAGAAGAGCCTTTTGTGCAAGGTCGATGCCACACCGTCATTTTCCGCATCGACAACTTCCGTCCACGCGAGGAAATCTTCAACGAGGCCGACTTCCTTGACGCAGAGCCCAGTGGTGATGAGGAGTGGAACGGCAACGATAACGAAAATGACGATGGAGGCGGGTATGCGTGGTGATCCACTTTCATTAAGGAGTAATCTTGGGTGTTTGGGTTTCAGGTGCGGGTATGACGTCTTGTACAGATATGACAGGCGTCGGGCTTTGGGGTTCATGCTCGGATCAAGACAGGAACTATGCATTAGGGAGGCGTTTATGTGGTTGGTTATTGAGATATCCGTGTGTTAGTATTGGGTTGCATCGGGCGCAACGGTCGGGCTCTGGGAACCGTTTGGCAGCTGTCTCAGCCACATGTAGAAGCCAGCCATGCCAAGCGATCATCGGGTTTGCCGTGTGAATGTGATTAGCTTGTTTGTGATCGCAGCGATGCAAGGCAGCTGAAGAAACACATTCGCGCGCGAGACATGCGTCACTCGAGTGACTGCGCAAGTGCACAGCCTCGCAGAGCGTCCCAGCATCCTGGCCAATCCCCACCATGACCGCTAACAAGGACCACCCGCCCATTGCTGCTCGCACTCCTGTCATATAACCGCTGGCTGCGATGTGTTGATATTTCCGGCCGCCTCTCTTCCTATACTGATTCTCTCTTATATTCTTCCTTCCTCCCTTCCTATCGCATCCCCCCTTTGTACCCCGCCATCCCCTGCTCTCCACACCAACGACATGGCGGTACCCACACCTCCCATCCCGCCTGTCTCGCCAGACTCGGGCCCTACCGACCCTACGCTTCCCAAGCTGCCCGCTGGCTGGATAGCGCAGTGGGATAACTCGTACGTCTCTCTCCCAGGCATAACAGAAGACACGCTGGCTGCCCCGCCTTCGCACCGCATGCCCCGCGACACAAAACTGACATACACCACAGATCCCGAAAGTATTACTGTACGTAGCCTTGACCGCATCATCGCGCGATTTATCTCTCCAACCACGCCTCGACCCGCGAACGAAGCAAAACATACTAACACGACGGCGATAGATGTTCAGATCAGCACCGGCGTCTCGCAATGGGAACTGCCCACGAGCGAAGCGCCCGTCGGCGGCTCCTCGTCCCACAGCACACCCGCGCAACAGACGAACCCATACAACGTCCCCGGCACCTCAGGCCCCGATGCAGGCGACGGACAAAGAGGCATGGGCGACGGCCCGACTGGCGACAGGGCAGGTGGATTGGGTGTACGCGACATGCTACTTGGGCATCAATCGGGCGCTGGCTGACAATGGGAATAGGGCTTTGCGATGAACGCGCTCATGGGCAACAAGCAAAGTAATAGTGGACATGGCGGCGGTGGCTCGGGAAACCTCGTCGGTCAACTCGCTGGATCGTTCCTCGGAGGTGGGAAACAACATGGTGGTTCTTCTGGGGGTCACTCTGGTGGTGGTGGTGCGGGACAGCTTGTTGGACAGCTTGCTAGTGGCCTGCTAGGTGGTGGGAAGCAGCATGGAAGTTCTGGAGGTCAGCATAGTGGCAGCGCTGGCCACGCATCGAGCGGTGGTGGTGGTCTTGGAGGCATGCTTGGAAGCGTGCTTGGTGGAGGATCATCGGTATGGACATGAGCCTCGACTCAAAGAAAGGCGCTGACAACATCTAGCACAACAAGCCCAACAACGGCGACTACGGCTACTCCGGTGCCTCGTCAGGCGGCACCTACACCGGCACCGCGCCGCCAACGTCCTACAACCCCAGCGCTCAAGGCGGTCAATACGGCGGCGGCGCTCCAAGCCACGGTTACTCCTCTCCCGGTCCTGGACAACAATACGGTCAGGGTCAAGCCCACGGAGGCTACGGCGGACAACACTCTCCGCCCCAGCAGCAACAGCACGGCCAACACGGCCAGCACCAAAGCTACGGCTCGCAAGCTGGATTCGGTGGACAGTCAGGATACGGTGGCCCAGCACCAGGCTACGGTCAAGGACCACCGGCAGGCGGTCCACCAGGCGGCTACGGACAACAAG